CTATTCACTTTACCTTTTATTTTGTCATTATCGTAAAACTCAAAATTTTCAAGCTATTTTCATTAGTTTTATTCAAAAAAAAAAAAAAATCAATGGTCTATATCATCGTTTTGGAAAGGGATCCTCTTTCTGGATCCCTTCCACCAAGTCCATTAAGGTCTCGTTTGGCACACCATATAAAGCACCGGATAGTACTAATTAGACGAAGTACGGTGTTTGGTGTCCGTTCGTATTAAATAGCCATCAGATTAAATAATCTGACCCACCTATTTTATCTGGTGAATAGCCGCTTCCTTATACTCTCCAAAACCATGGGACAATTTAGTCGGGGCTCTCTCCCTCCCTCTGTTCTTCTTTTTCGTTCCCCTCTCTCTCTTCTTCTTCCCAGCCGCTCTCTCTGCTTACAAAAACCAACCACACTCCCTCCTTTTTCCCAATCAAAACTCCCCAAAATTCCAAGTAGCTTCCAAGAAACCAAAGAATCCCACAAATCCCAAAACCCAATTCCTCCGCCAGCCACCATAAACCACCACCACCAGCAAGTTCCATCCAACCACCCAGAACAAGACTCTTCTCTCCCTACATCTTCTTCTGGCTACCGCAGGATCTCCCTCCTTCTTCTTCGCCGCTGCATCTTTCTCCGCCGTTGCATCTCTCTACTTCCTCCACCGCAAACTATTCGGTTCTCTCCCTGCATCTTCTTTTGGCTACTGTAGGAGTTCCCTCCCTCTTCTCCGACCACTACATCTCTCTTTGTTCCTCCACCGTAGACTCTTCGACGCTTCGTCTCAGATCTCAACAAACAAAGAAACAAAGATTTGTCAATTTTTTTTTCTTCCCCTTTCTTATCCATTCAATTCCAAACACAGTATAAATAATACAGTTATTAGTTCGATACTGCATCAAACGTCCGATTAATTTAGTCAGTACTATTCGGTGGCTATTTATCCTATCCGACAGAAATAGTCAATACAGTCCGAGCTATCAAACGAGGCCTAAGGCCACAAATTTGAGCATTTGAAATTTGATCAAACGACTACAAATAGAGGTCCACTTTAAAAATTATAATAATTTTAACCATTAAATCAAATTTTAAAAGTTCAAATTTATACCATTTATGAACTTGGTGGAAGGGATACAAAGAGGATTCTTCCCCATCGTTTTGAGGAGTACATTTTTTGCCCTTTAGCCTCCGACCCTTTCCAACAAATTAGATATGATCTAAATTCAGATATTGGACCATCTGTAATGGACCTTGGCAAGTAAATTTTAGCCCCGGATCTTTTTGATATTGGACCATCTCTATTGGGCTAAACGTACCAAAAGAAAAACAATTGCATTCACGAAACCATAATAAGAAAATGAAAAAAAAAATATATATATAAGGAGAGAAATGATAATTCGAGAGAACTACAGGGACTGCATACTGCAATTTTGCCAAGAGTTTTGTAACCAATGCCTTCCCACGGTTGCTGGAGCCGGAGAAGCAGGGCAGAGTTATCTAGCTGAACAGGCAGCAGCCGCCATTGTTGGTACGCTTCGTTTCCTTCCTTATCTTCAGAGTACAAACCAATCTATAAATCTCGCTACAAATCCAAACCCCAAAACGCTAATTTCACCGATTTCCCCCAAAAACCCTTTTCTTATTTTCCACCGAATCCCCATCAGAACCCGCATAAATTCACGTCAATCCGTAACCTTCAATTCCCTCTAGGGCTTTCAGAGCTCTGTAACTGCAGAGAAAGAAAGTGGGTAGTCGTCAAAATGCTAGGTGGTTTGTACGGAGACCTTCCTCCGCCCTCTTCGGCGGAGGAAGAGAAGCCCAGCAACAGCACGGTGTGGTCGAGCAGCACCAAAATGGCGCCGCAGACGCTCCGGAAGCCGTCGTCGATTTTTGCCCCGCCGCAGACGATTCTGAAGCCACAGAGCAAGCCTAAATCGTCGAATGCGGTGCAGCCGAAAATTACAGCGTCACCGGTGGTTGCACTGTCGCCGGCGGTGATATACGATGAGGTGGAGCGACCTGAGCTGGTTGGGGTGACGTCGACGGTGCTGGAGGAGTATGATCCGGCGAGGCCGAATGACTATGAGGAGTACAGGAGGGAGAGGAAGAAGAAGGCAATGGAGGCCGAGATGAGGCGGGAACTCGATAGGAGGCGGCAGGAGGAGGAGGAAAAGGAGAGGAAAGAGAGGGAGGAGAGAGAAAGAGAGAGGGAGAGGGATTTAGGAGAATCAAGGAACATTTCAGGTGAGGAAGCCTGGAGGAGGCGTGCGGCGATGAGCGGGGCAGCAACGCCGGTAGTTCCAAGGTCCCCGTCCCCGCCCGGTAATGCAGATGGTTTTATCATTGGGAAGTCTGATAGTGGTGGGTTGGGGCTTGGGGCTGGCGGCCAAATGACCGCAGCACAAAGAATGATGGCGAAGATGGGGTGGAAGCAGGGTCAAGGGCTTGGTAAGCAGGAGCAGGGGATTACTACTCCCTTGATGGCCAAGAAAACGGATAGGCGAGCCGGGGTGATTGTGAATGCTAGTGAAACAAAGCCGGAGAAGAAGGCGAAGAGTGTCAGCCTTAACGGGCCACCCACGAGGGTTTTGCTGCTTAGAAACATGGTATGTGTATACTTGACTTTCTCATGCATATTGATGCTTTGGTGTATGGATACTGTTGTGAAATTATTTTTGGTTTCTCTGGAAGATGATACTACAAATGTGATTTACAATCATTTGAAATTCGAGGGTGACCTCAATCCCTTGAAACCTAACAAATGGATAAAACTGGCTATGTATTAGCAGTAGATACATCCCGAAAGCTGATTAAATAGTTTCTCAATCTAGTAATTAGCTATCCATATTTTCCAAGACATAGTTTAGTGCTTATATTAGTATGCCACAAAAATGGATATGGAAGAAAACGAGGTTCAAGGGACTTTTCTGAAAATACTTTCTGGCTAATGAAGCGGGATTCTGTTCAAAGGGTCTTTATGGAACTGTTCTTGTATCAAATAGCTTCTTCCCTTTCGTATACAATGTATTGTTAACTTCGTGTACTACTGATGTTAAGTTTATAACTCTTCAGAAGGTTACATTCTCTTTTCCTGTATATCATGCCACTATATTTTATGTATCATTGTTCAAGGGGTTGATGTTTTAACCATCTCTACAATCATAGCAAGGTACTTAAAAGTAATGCCGTAACCCGGTTCATGAGTCCTTTTAGGTCTACTCATATGACCTGGCATGCTTGAAGATTGTCTTAGAGTTTCTAACTGATTGTGGTGCTCAACCTTCTGGTCGCTATTACAATTTTCATGTATATATCATTAATGAATTCACCATATATGGTATAGCTTTTCCTCAACTGCTTGAACTATTCTGTCTTTAATGCCATTCCTTTCCTCAGCTGGACCTTAAGTTTAACCTCCACTGCTGAAATCAGTCTAGTCTTTACATCGTTAGATTGTTGAGCAGAACAATACTATAGTTCCATGACTTTAACTTCTGCTTCATTTTAAAGCACATTTGTTTTCTACGATTAAAATTGTCGATCTACTGACCTATCTTGATAGGGCTGATCATTGGACTGAAGCAAATGAATTATGTTACGTTTGTTAGGAACCATCAAGAAAAGGGTGCTTCTGTTTGCACCCACTTTGTTACCGACTACGGCCACTTTTGAATGAAATTGTTAGCTATAATTTTACCCGCGAAAAAAAATAAATGTAACTTTTCACGCCTTGAATAAAACTCCCTGACCTTCCCAACATAACATAAGCACTCAACTATCCTTTCCCTTATAATCTAGCATCCAGTCGCGGCCCCCCAACCCCCCCCCCCCCCACCCCAAAAAAAAAAAAAATCTGATGCACGAACCATGTAAATGTGTGTGTTTTAAGCAATGGACGTTGGATCTAGCCATGAAATCTCTATCAGCACTGAACATGTTTTATGTCATTACGTGAAATTGCAACGACATTATATGGAGAAACAGCTTGCTGGGAAATGAATGAACTTGGGCTCAAGTTCTCTTTAAGTGTCTAAGGTGAAGTTGAGTTTGGGTGCAAGTACAAAAACTGATTAAAATTTATGAACCATATATGGTCAAATTGTTGAGCAACCGATTAAGTTGCGTTCAATATTAAACCCCAATCTCGTTCTTTCTATAATGCTGCAGGGTTCTTTGGGAAGCTAATGAATTAGGGCTTTACATAGGTTTTATTATGTGAAAATCATTACACAGTGAGTCAGTGACTATTTAACATGTAGAAAAAGTCTGTTTTTGAACTTATTTCACAACCGATTTATTATTTGACTTCTTGTTCTTTTGGATAGTTAATTCTAATTTTAGCTGATGTAATTTGTTGTTGAAGGTGGGCCCTGGAGAGGTGGATGATGAATTGGAAGATGAAGTAGCATCAGAGTGTGCAAAATATGGGACAGTGACGCGGGTGCTTATATTTGAGATAACAGAGCCAAATTTCCCGGTGGATGAGGCGGTGAGAATCTTTATCCAGTTTGAGAGGTCTGAGGAAACGACTAAAGCATTGGTTGACCTTGATGGTCGGTACTTTGGAGGCAGAGTGGTGCGTGCCTCGTTCTATGATGAGGAGAGGTTCGGCAACAACGAGTTAGCTCCAATGCCTGGAGAAATCCCAGGTTTTACTTGAATTACAGAGTTTCAAATGCAAGCTAATTTCCCCGCATATGTAGAGTTACTGAGAAAGATAAGGTAAACTTTGTTTTCGACATTGCCCATTAACGATGTGAGGTTCTAGCAGTGGTAATGCTTTACTTTTGTGATTGGATTCTGTACGATCACATGAAAGGTTGTTATTGCTTCAGGAATGCTTGACCAATTTCTTGTGCTGCAAGGTTATTTTTTTTCCCAGGCTGTTTCGACTCCATTTTTTTCCTTCACTTTTTTAGGGTTTAAGCTTAAACTTTAGTTTTGTTTTCTTCACTTAACAACCAAATCAAAGGAAGGAACAAGTAAAGGATAGTGTAGTAAATTCATATGATAGAAGAAAATTGGATTGCAGAAAATGGGTTTTCATCACAGCACAGCATATACACTGCATTGCTGCTAACTTTTTCACATCCGAACCCAAAGTATGGGATGAACAAACCTATAATCTATATGAATTAAGGAAGATAAAGTATGTTCTAAGGGCGGTGATGCGGAGGCGAAGCAACAGGAGTGGTATTGTTCGAGGCCCTGGCTTCCTGCAGTTGCGGGTGCCCGCCTTCATACATGTACAATGGCGAGTAGATGCTCATACTGCTGGTGTTGGTGGTGGTGGTGTTGAAGGCGGGGAATCGACTTGGAGATGCTGTGGTTGAACAATCACCACCTCCAACCACCACGCTACTGCTTGGGGTTGGTGTCGTTGTTGCCACTGGAGTGGTCGCTTTGGGGGTTCCACAAGCCGGGCAGCAATTAGGAGCCTTCCGTCCACAAATTAAGAGAGGAAAGGAAACAAAACAAAATAAACAAAATGTGTTTGGATGGTGAGAAAATGTAGGAAAGCAAAGGAAAGGAAAAACTGAAAAAAGAGGGAGGTGCATTACGTTGGGTGGGCGGTAGGTAGTGCCGTCGGGTTCAACGAGCCAGCCAGCCTCTGTGGCGAGATGCCGGAGCACCTCGTTGATGTCGCCGCGGGGAGAGAGGCGGTAGCCACCGTGCTTGCGCAAGCCGTGGAAGATTTTGGTGGTGATGGCCCTCCTCTGCCTCTCCCTCATCTTGGTCTTCTCTTTCTCGCTCTCGCTCCTCCCACTCCCACTCGTTCCCGCCATTTCCTCTTTCTCTCTCTCTCTCCCCGCTTCTTCTTCTGCTCTCTGTTATCTCTTGAAGCTCAGTCAACAACGAAAGCTAAAGGTGTGAGCTTGATTTGAATCAGAGTTCTGTAGAATGAAGTTGGTGAGCATCGGACGGTCCGGGTAGGAGAAAAGTACACAGGTTGGATTGGACGGTGGTGATGGTTCCTGGGATCTGCATGCGCTCCCTGTGTTTCTCTTTCTGTATGACATGACAGCTTGAGAGAGAGAGAGAGAGGTGACAATTGCATGCTTCAATTTCACGCATAGAGAGGGGATTCGGGGGTTGGGGTGTTAGTCTCACGCGCTCCTGAGAGAGTTTCTGACAGACGGTATGCATGTTTCAATTTGACTTGCCTTGTCACAGTGAAGGATTCTCTTCCCTCCTATTCCCATCTCTTTCCCTTCTCTCTTCTCACATATTGTTTTTATAAAAAAATCAATATAAGATGTTAATGTGATTAAATCGTAATTGTCAAAATAGAAGGGAAGGGAAGTGGAAAGAGATTAGGAGGGAGAGAATTCTCCTTCCCGTATTACACACCAGATAAGATTATTTTAATACAAGACAAGGGTTTGGTACTATAATGTAATAAATAATTACCGTATAAATTGATCTGGCTGTTGCCCTTACACTACAGTATGGATTCGAATCTCGTCGGTTCCCTAATCTAACAAATTTATTGTTCGACAAAAAAAAAAAAAAAAAAAAAATCTTGGTATAATTTATGTCGGATCACGCTCGCTTTCTCCAACCTCTACTCCTGCGCATCACGGACTCCTCGTCCGATGTACTCCTTCTCTCCTTTCCCTCCCCACCTCCGATCAATATCAAGCACATACAAACAGAAAACCAGAGGTGGCGGATTGAATCAAGGCCAAACTTTCACAGCTTCCACATACAACTGCGAAATATGAAGACATAAAGAGGACATAAAGAGGTTGGTAGTCTGTGTGTGCAGAATGAAATGAAAGAAGATAACGCTATCCAAAAAAAACGTTTAGTTTGAGCTGCGGTTTAGCGGAATGTTACATAACGGTAACTGAATTTCAGATTAGTACATGGAAAAGCTTACAAGGACGGAATTAGACGATTGTGCTACGTGCACCAAACTCTACCAACTTACCAAAAACTTCTAAGGAAAGCCTCTGCAAGCTATAAATCCAAGGAAAAAGAGATTATAGAGATCTTGAACACATTTGCTGACAGGCTTAATTCTCGGAACACTTCCATAGCAGACCGATAACATGTTCTTTCAAGAAGGCAGGAACATGTTGTCTAGTTTTACAGAGGCATTTCCAGGTCTGGTCTTTGGTCGAGTACTTGTTTCGAGTCATCTGGAAATGCATCAGGATAGGTAGCCAAAATTCTTGACTTCATGCTCCTGTTATCATATTACCGCAATGTATCAACATCTCATTTCAAAGAAGTAATCAAATATAACACAAACTCAACCACGTTTGATATCGAAAAATTAGCATAAAATGTGCATCTTCCCAAGCATCAGGAAGCTTATACATCAACTGGAAAATTGTATCGACTGGAAATTCCAACAAGCCAACTTGAAATTTGGACCCTGATAGCTAAGTTTTCTAGGCACGGAAGAAGAAGCTTTCTCAAATTATGAAGTGGTTTAGCTAAAACCACATTGACTACTATGGTATCTAATGCGGTTTGTAGTCAGACAATTATCGTATGCACCTCAATGCCAAATACGACAGGTAACTGGCCATATGTTTAGATGTTCAAAGCTTATCCCTTTATCCATGATGTATGAATCAGGGAACAAAAGTACAAATTATTTAGCTTATCCTTGATAGTAAACACCACTCTAAATCAATATTCAGTCAACCCGCAAGGCTCATCCTGGTTTGTTATTTTCCCCATCGTCCGTGTGTGTGCATGAGACTTTGCTCCTTTTTACGAAAGAAATGATATTACAATGTTCAAGTGAGAACCGCAGAAACCACTCGTCACAATCACATCCCCTTGAACATGTACTATGTATCTTCACATAAAAATACCGTCCAACCGCCCCAAACAGCAACAGTGTGTTTGGATAGCAACGAAATAAGATTCATTAAGCACTTTAAATAACGACAAACTGAACCAAAAGAAAGCAATGATCATACCTTAACTTCTGAAATATGTATTCAAGATCAGTCTTCATAGACTTTAAAAGGCGTGTGTTTCTGGAGAAATCTCCAGAAACCTCGGCAAAGCAGTTCTCTGAAAACTCATTAAAATGTGACAGAACTGCATTGCCATCTTGCAATCTCCCCAATCTACATGTGGATAGCACAAAACAAATTCCAGCAAATGAGCAACCAAAGGCAACGACAAAAATAAGAGCTGAATCACAGATCATGGTATACAAAAGGTATAACCACTCAATATCCATTCAGTACAAGCATAACGCATTGTTATTGCTGTTTCCGCATTGGAGGGAAATGCAGGAAACATTACATTTCTGCATAATATACACGCAAACGGATTTTATTCGAAATAGAACATCCAATTCCAAGTTTTCTACTATATTGTCCCCCACTAGTTATTTTGCATCACGTTGCTTGTTAAGTTAAAGGTACATGTTAGCTGATTCATATCCTTTAGTTCAACTGCATTCATTCAATCCAGATATATAAGATCTTCATGACGAGTAGACTAGATGCACTGTTAAATGTCTAGGTATTCATATTATATCGTCTATGTCACCAAACTATAGCAACAGATCGAATGACGATAAGCACACATATATTAAAGACTATACTCACGAAAAACTTTAAAAAAAACACAGCAAAATCGTCAAAGCCAAATTCCAACCTATACATAGATAAACAACTAGCAGCAAGACCATGCACATTGAAAGCGTTAAAGGACACAGCGAAACAGAAAAGGTCGTTGCCGCTATCCAAATACCTACCTTACCTCTACATCCAAGCAATACAGACCCTCATTGCTTGATTCCCACTTCTCCTTTCCTCCCACTCAAGTTTCTCAATTCAATTCAATAGATGACCAAGTGGGGTTTTAATTTTCACATTAAACACTAAATTAATAAAAAAAAACCCATGATTTTATTTCCTTGGTGGTAAAACAAATTCTTAGAAACAGCTCCTCCAAACCACACAATATGAATAAAGTTTCTTCCTTTCTCTCTCTTTAACTCTTCAGACAGCATTTCACAGAAACCCAATTAAACATATGAAAATATACAAGCAACAACCTGTAAAATTTAACATATATAAACAATGGTGAACTACAATTAACATAAAAACTGCTCACAGAGAGAGAGAGAGAGAGAGAGAGAGTTCTTACGTAAGGTGCTGCAATTGCTTGAGGGACTCCAAGTCCTGAGCATCGATTAGTATTTTGAATTCATTTGATACCTCCACCGATGCTTCCCTGATCGTTTCTTTCTCCATCTGCTCCATCTGCTCCATCTCCTCGTCTTCCTGCTACCTGCCACTCTCTCTACTCATCACGGAGGGACAAGGTTGGGAGAGACATCATAACTGCTGGCCCATTTGGGTCGGGCCATAACCCAAATTAAAGAAGTCAAATAATCCAACAACCAAGGAATTCCGGGAGTTCAATTACATGGGCTGGTCCAAGTGCAATCTGCACAGGCCCAAGATTAAATTCAACGGCCCAATATTGAATGACATTGGCTAGTCCAAAGTGACAACCTACATGTATGGGTTGAAACTTTGAAGGCTCAATCTTTTTGGTTTATTGACCAAAAATTGGTTTTTCCTTGAGTGCTTTTGCCCTACAACTTCTAAGAAAATTTGTGTTACCTATCGATCTAAAGTTAGAATTGAGATTTCGATGCAAATTCCGACCGCAAGTCATTTTTTAGGTATTTTTACTAGTGTATGTAAGCTTCACTAGGATTGGTAACAGACTTCAAAGTATTGGCATGATTAATATTTTTTTATGATTTAGGTCACTTTAAGAGTTAAGACATATTCTTGGAATGGGTGGATAACCGTGGCTTGCCACCAGTTGTCACCCTTTATTAAAGAAAAAGAGTTAAGACATCTCTATGACTACATGGATGATATGTACAATCTGAACTTTCTTTTTTGTTTAATGAAAGGGTAATGGTAGGGAGACCAAACTTTTAAACCAAATTGTGTAAACCAAATGATGTGGTTATTGATTATTGGATTATTAATCAAGTGTCGATTAACATGCTGATTTCTTACTGGTGACACATCATTTGGTTTATAAATTTAGTTTAAAAATTTAGTCTCCCTAACATTACTCTTAACAAAAACACCAAACTATGGTGGTCCTTTTTCCACATCAAGACAACACATTATATTTCTGTTTTGTTTAAGGCGTTAATTATTAATTCTTATTATTAATATTTTGTATTCATGCTAAAAAGCTGCTTTTGAACCCAATTCTTTCATTTCATTAATATTAAGGAAATAAGAAGAATTGAAAAATATTTTATGGATTGAATTCTATAAATTTGTTCATTATTTACCATAATGCACTAACTAAATACAAAAATATATAAAGGTTTTTTTAGCCAAAATAATCATTTAAATTGACATAATTCTTTATTTTAGTTCATGATAATGAAAATCGATAAAGTGACCCTCTGAGTTTGTCCATCATAAATCGCTTTGGTGCTTCTATGAAAATTCTGTCTATATCCTTGTTGAGTAGAGAAGTTGGTTTGACATAATTACACTTAAAAAGGTGGTCACATAGTCGTTTCCATGACAATTGAATGAAAATATTAACAAATTTTTCACATAATTAGCAAAATAATTCACTGCAGACAAATTTAAGAACAATTTCTAACGATTTTTGTTGTAAAGAACTAAAGTAAAAAGTTTTTGACTTAAAAAAAACCATAAATAAATAAATATAATATACTCGGTTAACATATAGACATGATTTTCAAAGTTGTGAAGTATGAATCCAAGATTTTCAGACTTGTTTGTTCGGTCCAACACAAAACCCTAGTAAAGATTTGTGAAAGAGAAAAAATCATGACTTATATCTCCCAAAAGGACGTAAATTGTCTATTCTCCTCGTCTCATACCCTTCACACCCTTCTTATTTATGTGGTCACGAATAAGCCACATCAACATTTTATATTTCCATTACTTTTTGTCTTATTATTTCTATAAAAAAAAAATTAATATAAAATGTTGATTTTGCTTAACCGTGATCACAAAAAATAAAAGGAGATGGAGAAGACAGACAATCCAGGTCGCTCCCAAAATCCACCCTGCAAAACTCCAACCATATCCACAATATCCCATTCCTCTTCAAACAAACAAGATTAACACACATATATTGCCAAAACCTAAAACCCACCAAATCATCACAACCCTCCTTCCCTGCACTGCATCTTCCACCAAAACTCCCTTACACTCAGAGTCCCCTAAAAACCCTAACCCTCCAAAAAACCCATTTCACAAAAACATGAAAAATCCAACCCCTCCAGTCAAACAGTCAAGCTATTCACCCAGTTAACCAGTAACCACTAACTTAAACTCTCTGAGTAATGCCTCTCTCAGACCATGATCTTAAACTCTCTGAGTAATGCCTCTCTCAGACCATGATACTCTATCTATCCCAAACCCTAGCTAGCTGCTAAATATATTTAAGAAACCTGCAGGTCATTAGATTTGATTAAAGATCCCAGCAAATTTCTTCCACAGTCAGACAGGCAAGGCAAAACCCAAAAAACTAACACAAACCCTAGCTAGGGTTAGGGTTTTCGAAAAGCTAGAGATCTTTGCACTTTAATATTTCTCTGCATTTCTTTTGCACTGCCTTTTTTCTGTTGTTGGAGAAACCAACAGTGCCATAGAAAGGATTCAAAGGGCACGCTTGGGCTGAAAGCTCTGAATCTACCCACCTGAAAAAAGATCATTTTCTTTTTAAATTTTAGAAAATAAAAACTAATTAAAAAATCATAAAAAACGGAAGCATGAGATTAAAGTAGTATTGACAAAGGTGGAAAGGTTGGGTGGGTGTCTCATGCGGGAACAGTTGCTTTAACTTACTCTGCACCAAAAGATAGAGAGATTCGTATCATAAATAAGCCACCATTAATTTAATTTACCTGTCATCGATTAATTTGTTAACAAATACGCAAAAAATGTAGAGCACGAGAGTCGAAATTTTCACAGTGCCTCTGCCTTTCATTGTCACCTTTAAAACGCCTCGAATTTCAAACGCTGAAAAGGTAAAAGAGGACGTCTCAGCCTCAGGGTAGAAGAGCAGAACAGGCCCCTCCTCAAACCGTGTAACTGTTCTATGACTCATGAACAGGCATGTAATGTTCATGTATGAACATGCATGTTGATGTATGTATGTGCATTTTGAAAACCATGTAATTATAGTACCATGCATGTTATGTTATTGAATGAATTAGTAAAATAAGGATGAAAATAACGTATGATAAAAAGAAACGTAGGTCGTAATCAACTTGTACAAGTAGAAAAAAGAAAAGGAATAAAACAACCTATAAATCAAATTCTTTTTTAAGAAAATCAGATATTAATTGTTGAGAACGAATCTTACGTTAATTTATAGATAAATTTGCTACTATTTGATTTTATAGTAGAAACTTATATATTTTTTTCAGTAATCAACTCAAGAAAGAAGTAATATGTCTTAAATAAACAAAGTGATTAGCGTTACATTATTAAAAATTAGAAGCACTTTAACACTTTTTTTTCTAATTATGTAACAAGAAATGTATAACAAATTTACATGAAACCTTTTTCATGCAAGTTATTATAATATAACGCATGTAATATTTTTATCTATATTGGCTTCGATTGTTAATATTTTTGGTGGGATATAGGTTGGCTATTTTTGGGTGCATATTCAATTTAAAGTCCATTTTGTTGTGAGGCTGTTGGGCAGTCTTGCAATACAAAAAAAAAAAAAAGGAACGAAAAGACGTTGATGGACACGACATGAATCCCGATAAAATGAGACAAAATCAGAAGAACTAGTGTACGTTTTTATGTCATTTGTCAAATCAAATCAGTGTGGTAAGTAATTTACCACCAACCAAACCAACCAAGCACGTATTAATAATAATTAGCAGATTAATTTTAGGGTTCATCATTGGGCCACACAGTAAGGGTAGGTGGTCCATCAACACCATACCACAAGCATATACCGTATAGCAGACAAGGCAGAGCAGAAAAGGGTGATGTGACTGGTGAGGCAGAAGGGCTTGGGGTTATAGGGTTTTTGGCACGTCTTTTAAGGGAAGATGTGGCTGGCTTCATCTCAGAAGTGTACTGGTTGTGATCCCTCACCCTCTCCCTTGACTATTTGTAAACTTGTGTACTGTGGCCATTGGCTAGTGAGATTCATTTTGGCCCACGCATTTAAAATTCAAGGATTAAGATTCTCTTCCCTTCATTTTCTATCTCCTTCTATCATTTATTCTTACATTTTTTATTATTTTTTTTTTCTATAAAAAATTAATATAAGATATCGACGTGCCTTAACCGTAATCATTCAAATAAGGGAAAAAGGAAAAGGAGGGAAAAAAATAAGAGAGAGAATCCTACTCCAAGATTCAAACCCCCAACCCCAACAGATATAACGATCCTATAGCTAGTTCATTGTTTCCAATTATGGAGGTTGTAGAAAAGTTTCTCTTGGACTAATCTTATGTTGATAAAATAAAGAACTTTATATGTTTTTATAAGTAATTAGATTACTTTTTATATTATTAATTAGTTTTATAGTTAAATTGTAATTTTTTTCAATAATTTTAGGTTACTTCAGTGAAAAAGGAGAAAATCAAATTTTATTTCTGATGCCTATGGGAAATTTTAGATACGTTCTCTACCAAGTGATTGTGGTTCGAACATTCAACTTGGATTCCGACGAAAAAAACACGCTCAGCTTGCAAAAAAAACATTTCGACTTTTAAGCGAGATACTTCGTTGAATAATTAGTGGGATGTCGAGTGCGTCATTCGTAGTGTTACTGATGTGCGGAGCTGACATTTCATTGAGCATTGGATACAAGAGTCTTGTACCAGAAATTCAATGGTTCATTGAAGGATTTTCAGGCCATCTCCAACTGAGAGCTGGTCAGATAACTCGTTTTAGACCTTGGGCTATTTAAGATATTAATATTTTAATGAACAGTACATGATCATATTTGTCTTCGTCTCCAACCAAAGGCCAAAAGGCCATAGGGCTCGTTTTAGCCCCGTCACAAAAAATCGTGTTCAACTGAGGACCAAAGGGGCATAAGGCCAAACATAATTTATTATTTAAATTTTAAAACTACAACAACTTAAATTCAAATCCAACAACTTAAATTTAGAAACTACAATGGTAACTGACCCAAAAACCCAGAAAAATTAGAACTAAAATTTAATGAATGATTTAGGTATTTATAAAAAAAAAAAATTAGAATTTTTAAGAATTAAAAAAAAAATTGGCCCAAAAAATCAAAAACAAAAAA